AAAACTGCATGAATGCAAAGGGCATCTTGATATGCTTTCGGCCCGGGCATATTTCAGGGCACAGCTGCCGCCTTCACAGAACATGGCAGCTGTTAGATCCGGACCTTAGAAAAAGGCTTCAGGGAGGGGTTCTTCAAGTAGGGCCATTTGAAAATTCCGTGGCTGATGCGGCAACTGGCGACAACGTGCACGATGGACTCGAAGCTCGGCCTTATCCGAACGAGCAGGACGAGCAGGTGGCGAGCCAAAAGTACTTCCATTTTCTCTGCGCTTACTGGCCCATTGATTTGACAGGAGGCAATAAAATGAGGCACCGACTCATCTTGCAGCGTCAGCCGGTATATCTCACCGTCATCACACTGAACTTTGACCACTGTCTGCCCGGGTGATTCTTCTTTGACATGACCACGGCAATGTCACAGACATCATCATCTGACAATCTGGCCGGCAACACCGCCATATCATACCAAATGACAGGGGAATTCCTTTGCAGCGAGGGCGGATCTTGCACATGCAAGAAATCGAAGCCTGAAATTCTATCATTTCATCTTGCTTGAGATCATGATGTCGCATGTAGCCAGGGCGAGGTCAAGATGTCTCATCAGCGGTCTGGGGATGCGACACTGAGTTCTCATTCCGCCAACAAGCAAGCTCTTTCAGGGCAACGCCTTGAGCCAGACCATTTGTGAGCGGCCAATCCTTCACTGCTATCCTGCACACCTTCTGCAAGGAGCGAGTGATCCCTCCATGATGACCTTTCAGAAGGCATGCGCACAGGATATGCTTGAGTCTTTGGAAAATGCTTGGTGCTGTCCCGTGCGCGGCGCGTCAGGTTAACGCCTTCCACTCAGGTCCAGCATTATGCCTTTATGTACACGCGCAGGATGCTTTTGCAGTACCTTAGCACTCAGACTTTTTACAATACCAGACGGACAGAATCGCTCGCAGAGCAGCTAGCGTTCAACCAACTGACATGAGATCAGCTGTCCAAGACACCAGCTGCTCTGTAAGCGGCTTCCCCTCTTCGGACACTTTGTGAAACGTGCTCCAAGCAACAGCATCACGCCATCCATGCCCCATCATCCTTGCATGCTGGAATCGAATTTATGAAGTCTTGCATGTGAGATTCGGCTTCGCATCACATATGAAAGACGAGGCCGAGACTGCTTTCCGAAGAGACATCTGGAAAAGGCCTGGGAAGCCGCAGAACACTTTGCATCCCAATTGCAGGAGCGCAAAACAGTGACGAATGAAGCTTGGACTCTTAGGCCGCCTTGTCAATGAAGTAGAGGCTATAAGAGTGGCTTAACAGCATGCAAGGCAATGCTAGTTTACAAAGTAAAGGGTCTTTAAATCTCCGACAAGTGATAACATGGGGCAACCGTCAATTTCAAGGTCAAACCTGAGAGCCAGTCAAGATGAGTCGCCTGTCCGTCTGCTGATCAGAGGCAGCCTGCAACACACGAAGCAGCCGAACCCAAAGCTGCTGAGGATGCCCAAGGAAATCATCGCGCAAATATGCCTGCATTCGCCCAGTCCCAAACATCCAGATCGATGCTGGCGCCTCTGTAGCTGCGAGATGTCTGTCATACTGCACAGAGTGTACACACAGAAGCGCAGGATTGCTTAGGTGGCAACAGTTGGAGGTGATGGCGGTTCCTGCAAAACAAACTGTTGTTGATGCGCCCCTTCAGTTTCTCAGAGACTCTAAAAGGTTCTGCACCATGTAGCTCACATTACAGCTTACAAGGCACATCTGGCCCAAGCCGGGGGGAGAAATATGTGCACTCCCGCCATCAGAAAATCACTCTGTGCCTGGGTTGACGAAAAAGAAGACAGCAACCCTCAGAGTATGCAAGGATCACCCCATTGATATTCAATACCCAGATCTGCGCAAAGAGAAATATCGCCTCCTGAGAATCCTCAGACTCTGGAGGAGCTTCTGGACAGTCTGACTCCTAGCAAGGTAGCAGCTTGTAAGGCCATGCCGTCTAACGTCGTCTCGTGGTCTCTTCGCTCCTCTTCAAAGCCTTAGCTGCAGAGTTACGACTTTCATGTCCGGAGAGTGTGTCGGCGTGGGGGCCTGCTTTTTTTCAGGTAAAATAATTGGCTTTTCAATGTTTTTCAAATATTTTAAAGATTTTCTACTCAAACTGGGTAGGAGTGCCTCATTCAAACTCTAATAAAATCACGAAATGTTTGTGTTAAGGAGACACAACTAGGTGGCTAAGATTCAAGGCTGGGCCAAGCCTGAACCCCTCAACCCTAACACACTAGTCCCTATACTGGACCTTATCCAAGATTCTCTGTTTCCCACATGCTCAGAACATGCAGATAATACAGCAATACTACTACTGCAACAGATATACATGTATATATGATAAACCTGGTTGGGGGAAGGCCTCCCCCTAAATGAGATCAGTATATTCCATCGAATATTCACATCCATACAGTAACGTGTAAATCATAATTTCACTTCATGACATTAATGTAATCGGGGGATGCGGCCCATCAACAACTAAACCATATTTATGGAATGAGGCCTCCACAAATTTGGCAGACTTACTACATGCGAAGTCATGAAACTATTGCTGCCATCTTTTGGTACTGGGGAGATCCCTGCCAGTACAAGAGATACAGTTCATAGAAAAGGGACATGCGTACACGTATTGTTGGATAAGTTCTGCTAAGCTCTCAATACAATTCTTACGTCTGTGCTAATCCTTTGGGTTAACGCATGAGGTTTGCCGGTGGAATTGATACAGTTGACAGAGAAGTTACATGCATGCATGTGTTAGATAAATTCTGCTAAGCTATCAGTACAGTTCGTGCGTCAATCCCGACCCTTTTGGTTAGATGCATGAGGTATGTTAGGGAAGGCATCCTGCCTTCATTTTTCCCCTCAATGCCTTCAGTCATATTCGTACACTGGGTATAGTTCATATGCATGGAGTTCTTCCTGCAGTTAGCACACCATCTGCCTTAAGTATATTGGGAAAGGCTCCCCAATGTAAGTAACACGATTACCTTGACAGGTATGTAGATATGTGTGTGACAGCCAAAAATTCGGGAAATGCCCCCCTCAAAAAATGATTAATGATCTATATCCATACACTGAGTTGAAGGACTATAAGTTCAAGTAGATACATCAACAATTAACACAGGTAATAAAGAGGTACATACATGCATGTCTTGTTGGATAAGTTCTGTTAAGCTATCAGTACAGCCAGGGCTTATGTCGCGACCCTTTTCGCTAGGTCCTTGAGGGATGTTAGGCAAGGCTTCCCCCCAATATATTTGCCCTCAATGTCTTCAAATATATTCGTATACGTAGTACATATCATATACATGCAGTTCAACATGCAGTTAGCCCGCCGTTTGCCTTAGGTATATCGGGAAGGGGCTCCTCAACACATGTAACACAAGTACCACAATAGGTATACACGAGACATATATGCATATGTATATACATAAATATATATATATACACGTGAGATTCAAAATTCTGGGACAGGGCTTTTCCCCAAACAAATGTTGATGAAGTTAATCGATTATCTATATCCATACAGTGAGTTGTGTACTGCCAAGGTACTATTAGGGCGTCTTTCCCGACCCTTTTGGCTAGGTGCATGAGGTGTGTCAGGCAAGGCCTGCCCCCAACATATTCATCCTCAATGCTTTGAATTACATTTGTATACTTAGTGCAATTCACACATATATATATACATATACATGGCGTTCTTCATGCAGCTAGCCCACCATTTGCCTTACGTATATTGGGCAATAACATAATTGGGGAATCAAGTCCATTAACAATTCAAACACATTTTTTGAGGCATGCCCAATTTAGCGAATGTCATCTATACCATTGTTAGAGTAATCTAGAGCAATCATTGTAAGAAGGAGCCCCACGCAATAGAAACACCGCTGCAACTACTGACAATGTAGGTTCACTATCTTGGGTTAATTTCTAGTGAGTATTTCAAGCTTTTGATGGTTTGCAGCGATTCCAAGCCTGAAGTCAGATGAGTATCTGAATTCATGTAATTCATGTCCTTTATGTAGTATCTCTTATGTTAATAGTACAGCACTATATATTCTATGTTTTGCTTTCGTGTGTTCATTACTTGCTGGCTTAGATAGTAAATTGTTGTGCACTTTAGGGTTGCTCAAATTCTTCCATTTTGCCTATTATTGAAAATATGTTGTGTTGTTTATCACAGTGTTTGTTAATTTGCTTCCATGTTTCTACTTATATTAAGAAGTTCAAGTATTCATTGTTTTCTAGAAAAGTTGTTTCCCTTTTTGCATTCCTGAAACTTCCAAATTTCTGAAAGATCTACTATTATTGATAACATTTGATCGCTCTTATGTATCTCATTTTTGTTGGTTTATCTCTGCTTTGATATTCTTGTGTTCGTTATTTTTAGTCACCCATACACTACCCTTGCGTTCCTTCAGGAGAGGATGATACGGGAAGACAGGAGGCGAAGGGGGGGAGCTTCTAGGACAGGGAGAGGGAGGAGTGTGCCCGGTGCCCCCCTAAAAAATACATAAAACAATAAATCAATTCTTGCTTTTTCTTTTGGCCCCCCCTCCCTCTCCCTTTCCTAGAGGCTCCCCCCCTCCTTCCCCTCCCGTCTGCCCGTATCATATTATAATTGCCGTTTATGCAATTCCCTTACCGTTTCTTCTTGCCTAGAGAAAGCTGCGCCTCAAGGAGTCATCCCGAACGTACTAATTCATATCCTCATATACTAAACAAGCACAAAATGAAAAAAAAACTGGGGCCCCCAGGGCGATGCTTTCTGCATGAAAAACATCTCGTGTGCTCCTAGAGCTTTTGTGTACAAAACGTCTTGGTCTGTGATACACGCATGACTTCTTGCAACGTCCAAGTAGCCTTCGTCTTCGTGAAGACTCCAGTTTTGCTCCTCGGAGATCTTGCGGATAGACAAAGGCTACACACATAGACCAAAGACTGCGCTTCGCTACCAGTTTTAATGCGGCGGTATATGAAAATGTTCTGCTCCCAAAATCACACGAAGAATCTGCACCTGGGCCGTCCATCTTTCAACAGACCTGCCAAGTGCTAGCAGACCAGCACAATTTCCAGTCGCTTTGCCGATAACGTGTGCCTCTGGGGTTGTGAAGTTCTCGGCACTTCGCCAGTTCGCGTATTTACAAACCTCGACCGTCCAAGCAGGGAAACACGATCAATCATGTTCCAGGGCTGAGGAAAGAACAAAGCATGCGCGGAGTGCAAGTCTCTTGATGCTCTCATGGGAGTCTCTCGCGCCGGCCTCGCCACACAGGCACGAATGCTTGATTAACATCTTTGACATCTTCTGCAAGATGCGCATGCCTTGGCGGGGAAAAGATTGAAGACGACATCGAGGAATTCCAGCTACCTGGAGCATCCAGACTGAATCTCTGAACCTACCCTCCACCCCCGCAATTGCCCCATGAAGCTAAGGTGGCAACCCCCCCCAGCTGAGGTTTCCAGTTGCTCCGGTGAGCACGGAGGAGAACTGAAGCACAAGCAGACAAGGAGGCGTGCTCTGCTGTGAGAATCCGTCACGTGACGTGCTTTACGAAACTGACTTCTCCGCTCTGAAAATACATGGGACTCTCACTCGGCCACGCTGTTCAGTTCCAGGTTTAGTTCTTTCGCGATCCTTGAGGAATCAAGGGTGTCAGGATTTAGCGTTCAATGTTTGAGGCTTTTCGGTTTTAGCAATTTGCGGAGGAGGAGGCGGGGCGGAGGTGGTACCCTCTGCGTTGCATTCATGGACCCGCTCATCATGTCGGGAGGGCTGCGCGAACGACGTCAGCTCAAGTGGAGGGGCTGGCCACCAAGTTGCCTTCAAGGGGAGGAGCACAAAGAGGACACACACGAAACCAACCGGCAAAAAGCCTCAGATCCTCTAGGCCTGCAGCGGTCATGTGCAAAAAGCCCACGTGCATTGGTATTTTATACCAGAGAGTGAAGTTTGAGCTGGCAGACCATGCGGCGCGCGGTCTGCCCCATGAGAAACACTTCATGTCTCATGTTAGATGGCAGAGACAGGCCATGCAACACCAGCTTTCCCACCTCGCAGATATACGTAGAAGATACTCCTTGGGAAAGAGGCTCGGAAACACTTCTTGGCTTTCCAGCGACTGATGTGTACACTTGGCACTTCCATTCAGAAGGTGTGGGACACAGCAGGGGACCCAGGGCGCAGAGCGGCTTCTTTGGTACAGTGCAGGCGCCTTGCCTGGTAGGCACAGCAAGGTCAGGGAACAACTGAGTGCCCACGGTCCCTGTGAGGAACAGACTCGCCTAGGCTCCGGCATGCCAAGCACTAGAGATATGATCGCACCCCATGAAATTGCCAGCAGCAGTTGAAGACCCTGCCAGTTCAGGCCCCGCAGCAACGCAACGTTTACTGAAGGTCCCGACCAAGAGTCGAACAAAACACTGATGGCCCTGCTAGGGTGCAAGAGTGGCAGGAGGACCTCAAAGCGTGCAAAACTGAGCCTGTCAGAAGATTGATAGGACCAAGCAGTCAAGGGGATCCCCTCCTTTTTCTTCACACCAAGAAATGCAAGAAGTGGCTTTTGTAATTAACCTCATTTGCTCCGTGCATGCACAGGCCACTAGGCAGCCAAACGAGGGTTCAGAAGAACACTGGCAAGTAGCGAGTGTGAGGGGCAAGAGAAGCCCAAGAGATTCAAGGTAGAGTATCGTTATCTGCTGCACGAGGCCCACGAGCAGCGTGAGGAGCAGGAGAGCCACAAAAGGAAGGGTGCTTTGTGGTGACCACGGCCGGCACCCGGAAACAGAATCCATAGCTTCCAGAACAGCTTTTTTCGGTCAGAGTTTATGGTTTGGCATCGTTGAGTTTGGAGATTTTGGCTTGCTCAGGTCATGGTTGTTTAGAGCCTTGTGGAGTTTTTTTTACGATCTCGGGCTGTTCAGGATCTTGGGGTTTGGAGCATCGGGCTTGTGAAGGTTTAGGATTGGAGTCCTCAGGATTTGTATGAAGGTTTGCGACCCTCAAAGTGCAGCGCCTGCAACGGTGCTCAAAGCTTCTCACATCGTGGGTTGTTCAGGGTTTGTTGAGGGTTTGGGGTTGTCTAGGGCAAGGTGTTCAGGTCATCTAGGCTGACGGCTTTGGCTTTGGGATTTAGGGCTTTGCTGTCCAGGGTTCATAGCTTGGGGCTGCTTCGGGTTTGGGCTTCAAAGTTGTTTAGAGTTTGGGGGTCCGGGCTTGGGGTTTGGGGTTTGAGATTGTTTTGGATTTAGGGCGTCTATTGAACAAAAAATCAGGCTTGGGTAGAAGGCTTCTTACTGACAGCCAGGCCAACCGATAAACCGACCAGAAGGCTGGCTGTCCAAAGAAACGGCCAATGACTGACCAAGAGCCAAACAACCCAACGGGCTAACCAGCCGGCCAACCGCCCATTATTGCCCGAACCACTCTGTGGCCGTCTGTCATGACCGACGGACCAACTGACAGAGCGAGCCACTAACCGGCCAACCGGCGGACCAACAGCCCGACCGACACCAGCCTACCAACCAATCGGCTCACCAAGTAGCTATCACAGTCACGCAGCCGCTTGTGGACCCAAACTCAGGAGCAACTTGAGGCGCAAAAACAAAAACCAAAAAAATGTAACCCTCATGAGGTGATTGAGGGCTTTGGGGGTCTAGGTCTTGTATGGCTTTGGAGTGCAGGGGTCTGAAATTCCTCACCCTCGAGGGTTGAGGAATTTACGAGTCAGCAAAAGCAGAAATCTGAATAACCACGACAGCAATCGTCATGTGGGTAGCAGTAAAATGAAGCAAAAATGGCACGACCATAGCTAGAAAGCAAGAACATGAGAAGAACTACCAGTGCAAGGATGATATGAACAGTCAAGCCAAGCATATAACTATTGCAAAGCTGGGGATTCTTCAAAGATTAGGAAACCCACCACATCATCTCTCGAATGTAGATGAGGACAAGTTGCAGGTAAAAGCAACGAATGAAATTAGGAAAGAGCATTTGCAACTCCCACTGAAACCAACAAAGGCCGCTAAACTACGGCTCCACTGATCGGGCTCTAAAACTACATCAAAATCAACACCGCTCTCAATTGAGGTCTTCGGGCTCGTGCACAACACGAAAAATTCAGCAGAGCATCATGAAATCCAGCACATCCTGATGGGACAGAATTTGCAAACTCACGAGGTCTAAATGCCGAAACGTGCTCTCTCTGTTTTTGCATCAGAGAAGTCCAGGCCACCGGACCTTTTGGAAGCCGTGGCATTTTCCAAGCCCACCTGACGACTGTCCCTCTGCACATGTGCACAAAGTCTGCCTTGCAGGAACGTGCGCTACAAGATTGATGTCACACAACATCCTCAGCACCGGCCTCGACGGAACCACAAGAACACTTCTCAAACCAGCTCGCTTGCCAGCAATGGCCTCGAAGAAGGCTTGTGAGCAAATGAAGCTGAGAATGTAAACTGGCTAGCAGGGCTGGCCTGCGTGACTGGCGCAATCTTCGCCAGCAGGCTGAGCTGCGGCCAACTCATCCTCACCCTCAGACCGAACCACACGGGAACGCAGGCAACGAAATCATCTCCTTGTGTGGCTGAGGTGCCCCTGGGCCGGCTTCTGTGCCAGTCGCAGTTGACTTTGCTTCCCAAGGCCGTCTGTCAGCAGATGTGGAAGTCAGGCTGGCAGCCTTGAGTAACTTGAGTAGAGGTCCGACAGCCAGCATTCGCATCAAACGAAAGATCAAGCTGAGCACAATCGGAGAAGCGGAAAAAGCTTCAACTGGAAGAGTCCCGCCTGTTGAGATTGAGTGCTGGTATGTGGTTGACGTGGTGGTGGCCGTCAAACCAAGTTAGAATAAACACACTGCCCAACGCAACACCATCGGTGGAAGCCTGTGTGTGCACAAAGGGCTGACCGCAAGGTGCCATTGTCCTTCCGCAGCGTGTTTAATTCATTCTGCAGCCTGGCACTACAGAGTTGAACGGACTCGATTAAGTCATCTGGAAAGTGGGAAAACAAGTCAGATGGACCCTGAGACCGCTTGCTTCAAGCCGTCCAACTGTCGAAGCCTGGCCAAAGCAAAGGCAGCAGGCACTGCAGCAAAGGCAGAAATCTTTTGATCTCGCGAGCGTGCATCTCAGGCTGCGCCACCGCTTGCGCAGCGGAGAGGATTGAAGCAACCTGCGGCCAGATTGGTGAAGTCTTTATTGAGAACCTTTAGCCTTTGCGTGAACGCAATCCTCTTCCTTGGTCGAGTTGACTTCTGCCTGCAAAAGCTGCTCATATAACCACATTGGGATGAAAGTTTGGGCTATAAACTCACAGGACCCACCTCCACACTTTCGACGGCAGGATGTTGCAAGAAATCTTGCTCTGGGTAGGTGTGTTCGATGCCATGGCCAACTCCAGGAGCTTCCTGACAAACAACTACCACGTGAAACAGCCTGGTTAGTTTCTCGACCTGTTTGCAGAACAACTGAACTCTCGTGGCAAACCAACACACATGTTGCCGAACTGACTGGCAAAACAACCGAGCAGGCCACAATGAGTAACCGGCTCTCTGCCAGTGCAACCTGTTTCAAGCAACGTGCATGATAGGGCGATGTTGGAACATGAGTCACTCAAAAAAGATGCTGCCTGTCGAGGGGTTTGGGATGTTTTTTTCGAACGGCCTCCTACAGGCTCAGGTCTTAAGACATTCTCCGCTCTGATTGGCAAAAAATTGCAAAGCAGCCTGCCCAGAGACATCGCCAAAAACTGTTGTTTTTTGGCGGTGGTGTTGCCAAGTACCTGGAAATCATGAGCAACTTGCGCTTGTAGGTTGCAATGAAAGTGAAGCTTATGTGAAGTTCAGAAAAGTACTCTCAGGCCGGAGCGGCTTGGACACATCCAGGAATTCTGCATCTAAATCTTTCAAGCCCACCATGTCGGGAGATCAACTACTTGTCTCGAGTTGTTGTTGTCCTTCTTCGTGATGAACTCATACGGGGCCGACAACATGCCAAAATTGGGATTATTGTTTCTGACCTGGAGATCTATCCATTAACGTACAGGGCGGCATTTTGAACATGCATCCCATGACATATGGTTGAAACATAAGCCAGCTTTCCATTGCATCCAGTGCCATGCCTCCAACAATGATTACATGATACATCTAACCGACCGACGATTGACAAATTGACGCATGTGTGCATCTGTGATCCCGTCGACAACGCCATCCACCGGTCCGGGCATTATTACGGCCTTACTCCAAATTGTAGACATAGTGGAATTCGGGTTTCACCTGAAAGTCGGCATTCATAGACTGCAAACATTTGGGCACGAACTCTTCAAGTACCTCAAGTAAACGTCAAAGCATGGGGATTTTTTGCTCTTGCTCTCGCCATTTTGTGTTTTCCTACGTGTGCAACAAATTGCACCAAGCACCCACAGAAGCACTTGCGCATTTTGCCAGCGGGTGGTGGATAATTCCAAAAATTCCTTCGTTGGCAGCGAATCAAGTGGACTACATGCCAGATGTACCAAAATTGGAAGAACTACATGTTCCCAAGATGGCCTACATCGACTTTCTGTTCCTCAACATGTCGTGCCCAGCCCCCCACACCCCCACTGGCCCCTTGGCACTTTTTTTTCAGACCCCGGAATTCTGGCGGAGGGGCAGGGATGATCACATTTTTTGTTTTTTCACGGACCCCTACGGCCAGCCTCAGCCAACCCCCCGATTCCCACCCAAACCCCCCGCTTCCAGCTGCCTGCCCCTCCACACCCCAAACCTGGCCCGACATATTTGCTTTGAGGCGGACTAGCGCGTACAATCTCCACCACAATTACAAGACAGCTGGCCTCATTTGCCTGCTGAACGGTTCCGTGCAGGGGGTGGCTTGGCATAAAACACAATTATCAAAAACAACAATGTTTACGTCATTTTTCCGAAGTTTCTTTGAAAATTTGTTCCGAAATCATCGGCGAAAACTCTTCGTCTTGTCTACCTGTTTTGCAAATTCCTGTGTTTCACCATAACCACTAGTCTCTGCCTTTACTCGCTTTCATCTTGTTGCAATTTGGCAAATCTGTGAGCAAACCATTTAAAATGTTTTTGTCACCGTACAAGCAAGAATGAATAATTGGCAGCTAGCATGTTGGACATTCTTTGTGTCGTTTTGCTAAACATGTTTCTCGATGCTTTGAACCAGATGATCAATTAGTTCATTTATTTGTATCTTTGCCTCTTCTTCTTCCAACTCTCGTTCAAGTACCCGCCTATTCAATAGATGGTGTTCCTCTTGTCAACACGTCCCATTTACAAAGCTCACAAGGTTGTTGCTGGTTCTTTGTCTTTTTTCTGTTTTTGTCACATATTTTCATACCAGCCTCTGCACCGCGATTTACCAAAACCGTCAACGTTTTTTTTTTACGTTTTGACCATATTTTGGTATCAAAGCTCTCCATACTATGTTACAAACATAACCC